GTGTTAATATAAAAAATTCACTTTTTTAAAGCCAGTATGACGAAAAACCCTTTTTTTTAATATAAACTACATATTTTGAAATGAAGAGCTTTTGTAAACAATAGTGAATTGCAACAACAAAGTTCTTACCTTTTATTATTTTGGAAGATTTTATAGCTATAGTTATTTATTTACATCACAGTATTGCAATATAATTTTACGTTTTCAATAATATTTACAGATTTGGTTTTAACTATTTTTTAGAAGCCTTGAATAAAAAACTTTTTAAATTAATTTTATTAACTTTTTAAAATAAATAAATGAAACACCAATAAAAATTTTTTAACTAATAATTAATAAATTGTTGATTTCTAAAGAATTTATAACATATAATACTCATAATATAATATACAACAAGAAATAAAATTTTTATAATATAGGATTTCTAAATAATTTGTAATATAAAATACTCATAATATAACATCCAATAAGCGATAAATTCATAATATAGAATATCAAAATAATTTTTAACAAAAAATTTTGATAATATAATATCCAATAAAAGATGTAATATGCATATCATATGATCTGTGAAGTGATAGAACTCAAGACAGGATGAAACGTAAAAAAATGATAATTTTATGAAACATCTAAATTTTTCAATAATTATATTAATTTCACATTGAAGAAAATATGTAACTATTATATAAATTTTATATAAAGTTTACATCGAAAGTACTAACATCATATAAAAATTCTAGTACTTGAGGACTATTGAAAATAAAAATTTCACAGAGCATAGACAGAAAATATTAGAAACTGATTCAATAATAGCGATGAAAGGACATTAACAACTGTACAAGTTTTTCGTTCTGCAGACAAACATTTCGTCAAGTATAAAAGAATTTTATTAGTGATATTTTTATTATTGCATACATCACAATGAGTGATATTAAAAAGGATATATAACAATGTGTATATATTTAAATTTCAGTTTCACATTATAACAATGACCACATACCACCTATACAGGACACTTGTTTGCAATGTCGCGCCTATAATTACTGAAATTTCAAGGAACTTGTCAAATTTCCTTGAACTGAAGTATCTTAATTTAATATATTATTTATGACACTACATATGTTAACCTTCAAGTTTTATGACAATAGCTAAAATACAATTCTCAACAATATTCGTAAATTAGTCATAGGCAACACATACTTCTAGCCTTTACCATGGTAAATGCATAAAATGACCTGGGCTTACATACTCGCATGTAAGTGCAGTAGGATCATAAATTACCTGTCTCAATCGCCATAAGAAACAATAATTTTGGATCGTTAGTTGAGAGTTTCATAGGACAGGTACTGAACCTGTCGAATTTGTATGTTTATTTGTTGTGTTGAGCAAAATACAAATTCGCATTATGCACTCTCATATTTATCAATATTATCTTTCAAAATATTATCTTTAAGAAAACACTTACATGCGCTAGTATGGTATATCCTTCATATATTAAGGCTGGTTGTTTTTTTTTTTGTAGAATATATTCTCGCAGTTCAGTAAAAATGGTGCAGTTGTCAACATTAATTTTAATACTCAATGAAAATATAGAAACTAATTTTTAATTTCTTATCTGCAGATACGCAAATCGTTTAGTGCCAATATTTAAAAAATGTAAAATATATTAATAATAGCAAACTTGTGCAATAAATTATGTGAATAATTAAAAAACTCAACCAAAGGAAAAAGACTTAAGGACAAATAAGATTAAATTTTAAATTAAGATTAATTAGATGAAATTTGTTTGTTACGGTAAGTGTAGTTCATAGTACATAAATATAAATCTAAAAATATCTAGTTAAAATGGTTAGAAAAAAAAAACTATATAAATTAATCTATATATTATATTGTGATTTTAATTACACCCAACGGATTTGAAGTTACACGGTTGAAAAAAAAAATTTTTTTGTAAAAAATTTTTAATCTAGTACAATCTTAAAATCACTGTCTTGTTTGACACTTGGCAATTTTTTTTACACGGATTTCTGAGGAACGTACCTACTGATGTAAAAAAAGAGTTAGGTGTACTTAACTGAAATTATAACTTATACAATTGTATTTAAACAAATAGTGAGAGCAAAATTCGTCAAAGACTTGTTGATGTACCTGCACAAATAGATGTAGGTGGCAAATCTTTTCGCAAAAGATCAGTTTATTTAGTTCATGAAAGTGGACCTATTATGATAAACCTCAGGAGTAATTGCATTGAATAAACCGTTCTTAGGTTTTACAGAACTCTTGTTTATGTGTTATTGAACCGAGTCCACCTTCTTATCTTTATAACCTTATGTTTTGATTGTTTCTTTAAACACCGTTTTATTTAGATATACGGACCTATTCTGTGCACGGACCTATTCTGAAGGTAATAGGATTACACTCCCCATTTTTACTCTAATTTTTAACAGATTCCCAAATTTTTTTAAAGTTGACTGTATAAGTTGTAAATTTGAATGCTTCTTTAGTCACTTCCTGCAGTTAGATTCTTGAACAAGGTCAAGATATTTCAAACTATGAGATTCAAAGTTAAAAAAGTTTATTCGCCTTTCTATTAAAATATCGGTTATAAATTTCTTTAATCTGTATTTAATGAGATTGTACTTCAATCACGTTCTCCAGTTATCTTAAGGTAGTAAATCTTGTTCTACTAACTTACTGTAGGTCCAGTCCAGTGAGAGGCATGCACTCAGTCAGCTTAAACTCTGACATTTAATATATAAATTTTTTATCTGCTCTCTTAGTAAAAATACAAATTGTATCACTAGTATCAAGTTAAGTTATTAATATGAAAATAAATATATATATGAAAATATATATATATATATATGAAAATAAATATATAGATATTCTTGTAAATATAACGAAACATATATTTTCTATTTGAATGGCACCTAATTTTACCTGAAAACCATTGCGATGAAGTGCCAAACAAAGTATAGTTGTATAAATATTGTTTGTATTGCTAGTATTATATTAATTTGATTATTACTAATACAATTCACATAAATATATATACATACATATATATATATATATACATACATATATATATACATATATATATATATGTTTATTCCTAAAAATAAGTCATTATGACGAAATCATTAATTTTTTAAATGAAAACTGTTTTCTGAAAACCTTTGTAGTGATCTACAAGTCTACCAGTTTAAAATTTGACTTCGTCGAAGAACTTTAAAGTGATTCTTCAGGCGTCCATGATTTTATCTTTTGTGTGGATTATATTTCAGTTCTGCTTTTGTTATATTGTGGAGAGGTGACTATATATGTTTCTTTCTGAAGCTTGTCATATTTAATAAAATGTTATTCCTCATATGCTCTATAAGCATTTGTTGCTAATAGTTTTTGATTACGAGATTTTCTTAATACATCGAAGACTTTCAATTTTTTTCAAATAGCAACTGTTTGACAACAGGTTTCAGATCCATATAATAGTATCAATATGACTTAACTAAAAAACATTTTAAATATTATTAATTTGAACTAATAATATAAAATTTAAAATATTATTAATTTAATAATAATATAAATATTACAAAGAAATTTACAAAAGCGACAAGAAAATATACAAATTAAATACTGACTATCTCAAACATAATATTTAATGATATTAGTTCATACTAAAGCTTTTGAGCTCTTATATGATATTTCAAATGGCCTAAGTTGATCCTTAGGATTGCTAGTATGACCTAACCTAACCTTACAAAAAATGCTTTTTAACTATTTTATGTGTTTAGTAAAATTTATCTTTTTACTAACAATACTGAGTTCAGACATATAAAAAACATTAAAGAGACACTAGTTTCGGTTTTTTTTTCAATTAAACTAAAACGTAGAAAAACTTTCTAAATTCAAATAAAAATTAATTGCAAGAAAAAGTAGAGGAGTCCTTTTTACAAAATGAAACATTTATCAGAAGCCCTGCACTAATTGCACATAAATGCATTCGAGCATTACATGTGTTAATATGCGGTCTCAGCATACAGCGTCATAGCCGCCACTTGCACTTCACATCAAGACGTCAAGTCTTCAAATTCCCACCTCAATAAAGTGACTTTTCAACTTGCGTCTGCGGTAACAGCTGTTTTAATAGCAATGCAGAGCTAGTAGGATACGGCATCCGTACACACTTCTGAGACAGTAAATAAAAATATTTATCTTAACGTCGTAATAAGTTTTTAAAAGGATACGTTAAGTATAAAATGCAAAGAATAAAATATGTTTTTATTTAACAGTAAATGAACTGAGTAAGGTGTATGCTTAACTTGGTTTATCCAAAAAAAGCAAGTCAGAGCAACAGAAAAACTTTTTCAATTTAGTTTTACCAGACACTGTCAGATACCACGAATACTGTTTTGCGCTACTGCAAGATATCACAAAAAAAAATAAAATAAAATAATTCACACACGCATGCATAAGCACGCTGAATTAATTAGATTCCATCCACATACATATCCAGCCAAAAGAAGGCAGAACCACTTGGAACAGGAGCAGCAGTATCAAGTCAAACAAGACAAATAAAGCGCATACATCAGCTATTATCACACATCACGCTTGCTAGGATTTTTCTTTTGTTTTACTTACGAGAAAAATAGAAGACTACCAGCCGCATATCCTTAAGGATACACTTGTAGACACGTACCTGAGATTGTCAAATTTAAAATATCTTTTTTTTGTTGTATTTTATTTTTTGTGTGGAATTTTTTATGAAGAGGCAAATTTTTGCTAACGCATTAAAATGATATATGTCGAAACTCATTAACATATTATCACATATAGCATATGTCATGAATACTTTGATATGAGCAACTTGAGCAAGGCACGCGGATTGCCTTCAGCTCATAAGCCAAGTTGCAATAGGAAAGTCTTTAAGCTACAAAAAAGAAAATATATTAAAACAGTAGAACTCATGTTTATCTTTTTCTTTATCTCTTTACAGGCATTACTTCAATTTAATTCAAAAACAAAGAGCAGAAGTGAAGAAGTGAAGAAGCTGAAACAAAAATATTAACACACAGAAAACGTACGCAATTTATGTAACTCATCACGTGGCATATGAATGTGTTACGCAGCTTTAAAGATTTTCACGTGATTTCTTTTGCAACGAGAATATTTAAATTTATTTATTACAATACGAGTTATTAGTGAATGAATCTGAATGCTAAAAGAATCGGAGGATATCATCAAAAGACGTAAACTGTCTCTGATGCATTCAACAGAACAGACTACTGCCACGGCCACACCACCGATAACACCGCCAACACCGCCACCACTCAACATGATGACAACAGTTACTGCATCAGCAGCAGTTGCAAATGTATTAACTACCACCACACAGTCCACTTTCACGCCCAACTCAATGCCTGCCGCAATGCTTGCAAGTATGCCCAACACACCAAATACAGCGACAGCTCCAATACAGGATCACTACAGTCTGCGTTGGAATAATCATCAAAATCACATTTTACGTGCATTTGATGCACTTCTGCAAACAAAAACGCTTGTTGATGTAACACTCGTCTGTGCCGAGACCAGTATACGAGCCCACAAAATGGTGCTCTCGGCGTGTTCACCTTTCTTTCAGCGTGTATTTGCCGAAACACCGTGCAAACATCCCGTCATTGTACTTAAAGATTTTCGTGGTTGGGTTGTGCAGGCTATTGTTGACTTCATGTATCGCGGTGAGATAAGTGTACCACAAGAACGTTTACAAATGCTCATACAAGCTGGTGAATCCCTACAAGTGCGCGGTCTCGTAGAGAGTTCAGTACCCGAACATACGCCCACACCTGCTGCATCTCCAGATGACTTCGGCATGCTAGATACTTCGCTGATGTCCTCAGAATTGGAACGTTGTTCAAGTTTTGATGATGAATCACCATCTATGGTGACGGCTGGTTCAAAAATTATTTTACCCTCTCGTCTCTTTAGTTCATCAGCACGAAGAGAACGTGAACGCAAGCGTGAACGCGAACGTGAAAGAGAGCGAGAGCAATTAGAGCGTGAAATTGAAAGTGATCAAGAACTACAACATGAATCAGGCATACATTCAGATCTGTGCACGTCACCTATGCCACGTAGGAAACAAGCACGTCCAAGACGCCGTTCTGGTGATCTACCCCTTGATTTACCTGGCAAACCCGGCACACCAATACCTGGAGATGAAAATAATGAACTTATGTCGTTGGAAAAAATGAATGTGCATGCCAAGAGCTTAGAAAATCTCAAAACTGTGATCAAAAGTGAGTTAGCTGAAGCAATAGATGATGATAATGATATCGAAAGAGAAGACGACAGTGGCAATGGAAATGACAGCAACGAAAATGTTGGATCTCATGAAAAAACAAAATATATGAATGAAAAACAATGTAAAGAAATGAATTCAGTTGATGACACAAACCACGAGATAAATCGATCAATTGATATTGATGAAATTGCTGATGATGATGATGACGACGAACATGTGAACCATATACGTCATAACGATGAAAATGAACAACAAGCTGAACATGAAGATATTGAAGAACTTATTAAAAAATCCAATGAGCTACGTCGAAAACCGCAAACTGATCTTTCAGATTTACCTGAAGATCTCTGTACAACGAAAAAGGATAATGATTGTAGTGGCAATCATTCCGAAAATGAGACCGAATGCACTGCTGTAAATAATAACAACAATAGTAAATTGAATAACAACAATCGCATTGTGCTCTCCTTGAAAGATATACGACATTTGAACAAACCCAGCTCATCATCAACCCCCAACTCCAATAATAGTCTGAACCCTTTCGCAGCAACAAGCTTAAGGGACTTGCGACTTGATCGCAATGCAAATGCTGCTGAGAATCAATGTAAGCTTGATGCATTAGAGGCACAGATGCATGCAGCGGCAGCTGCTGCGGCTGCGGCTGCAGCTGTAAATAACGATAATCCGTTTCAACATATGGAGCATCAAATGGATCTATCCTTAGCTGCAGCGGCGGCGGCAGCAGCAGTTTCACATCAACACTCAAGAGAACGTGATCACGCCATGCAACGCGAACAACGTGAAATGCAACAGCAACATAATGCTTACGCCAACAGTTTACTGGGACAAATGGGTATGCCTGGTCTGCCACCATTTGGATCGAGTGGTGGTCCTGCACCGCACGAAAGACTGGAAGAAAGTATGAATCGGCTAAGTAAGGAATTTACACCGAGTTCGCCAATGAGCCTACCAACACACTTCAATCCACCTGATGGACCACCGCATCCTCCGTCACCGTTACCCTTTCCTGGTATGTCATCGGCGTTAGCGCTAACACCACCGCATAGTAAGTAAAGCATGAGTAGTTTTTTGATTTTAGTGTAAAAATTTGAATTTATTTATTTCTATGACATATATTTTACAACTTTTATTATATAATTTTAAATGTTTATCTAACTCCAAACAAACTTGAAATTTAAAGAATTATAATTCCTCGTATACATATTGGAAATCAAATATTGTTCAAGGATGTACTTGGTTGATTTGTACTTTTGGTTTGAAAGCAAAAAAATTTATATACAAAGTACATGAAAATTGTACAATTTTTGCAGTAAAATAAAAATATCACAAATGAATTCACAAAAACATCAAGCAAAAAATACAAATAAAAGCACGGCAAACTGTTGCGAAAAACGGAAATCCTTAATAATCATATTCGTTGATGTATGCACACGTCACTTCCTGTGCGGTGCTTTACTTCTCAAAGGAAAAAATCAGATTTTTTTACTGAATGCTGTGCAAATAATTTTTCTCCTCATTGATAAAGTTTTGAATTCTTACGCTTTGATGCATTTGCACTGTAGCTCGAAGGATCTAGGTACTCCTCGCTGCGTTGAGGCAATATAAACAAAAGCAACATGTTTGCTTTGACAGCGCGTTTGACATTCGCATTAGGGATTTTACACACTAACAACTTTAGTGGTCTGATGACGTGCAATTTCAAGTGACTTAAAAAGTCAACAACGGCACCGCCAATGCTTTTCTTTCCAGCACTCCAATCTATCTCTCCATGGATGTACTGCATTCTGTTTCGTGCAAAAGCAGTTAGCTTGATTTTAATGCATGTTTTTTTCCAGTCAGGATGCAACACGTGTGTGCATGGAGTGCATGCAAGTGATAAGAGCACATAACATTTGTAAGCAAAATGCGGTTTCCATTGGTAGATTAACTTTTATTTTTATTGCCTGCTTCTTTTAGAGTTCAAAGACTACTTCTTTTTTTATTGGCCCATGAAAAGGAAGTGGTGGCAGAAGAAATTTTTTAAAGGAAGTGAAAAGAACGAATATAATCAGATTAGTTGAGAAGAACTGGTTAAAGTGTCTATAAGCGAAGATAACTCAATTACTGAATATTCACTGATTGTTAGGTTAGTTGACACACTGAATACAATCCTAAAGCTCCAATATCTATTTAAAAGATCTTAAAAGGTAAACTTTTGCATACTGTATATGTATTAAGAACATTTGTTTAAGCTGTAAGGACCTTATATCCTTAAAAAGGTGAACTAACGCATATTATATATATATGTTACGTTATAAGGTCTTTAAAAGCTAAAATTATGCTTATACAGACTTATAACAAAATCTTAAAACTCTAAAAGCCGTTCAAAGGTCCTTCAAAGCTAAAGTTATGGATAAGATACAAACGTTATCAAGGTTTATCAGAATTTGCATGAAAAAATTTAAAAGATTTTCACTAATGTAAACAATATTATTAATCAGAACACATGTAAAGATTATATAAGTCGCAATCTTAGTTAATGTAGCATTATTTAAAGTACTTTAGTAATTATGATATGAATAACATTTGAAATTAAATTTAATTCGCATCAGTGACCTTTCTATTACCAAGAAAGAACTCCAAAGTTTTATATAGGTTGGAGACCACAAAAACTGCTGTTGCGGTCAAATAAAAATTCCTGAACTTTTGAAAGCTCCATTGTCATAAAAGACTCAGAACCTTTCTTCTTATTTATAACATGACTAAAGGTTCTGATTTATTCTCTAATGATATTTATATTTATCTATTGAATCACTTTATCAATTTAAAACTTCTAAATATAAGCTTAAAAATCTCAGGTAAACATATGGATTTACATGAGGGTTTTGTTCCTAATTGTCAAAAAAATTCGTTTTGCATTGAAAGCAACAACAATTGACAGCTAAAATTAAAAAATAAAGTTAGCACACCACTTTACATAACACAACACAGACCACGTGTTCTTTCAGACAGTGGCAAAGAGTATACTAACATCATACAACGATTGGACGTCAGATTTATAAAATATATATCCATGAATATATATCCAACTTTGCCTAACAAAATAAACTCCAATTATTTTTACAAATCTTCTTCACGTATAGTATATAAATTTAATTTTGGTACACATAAGCTTTAAAAAACAAGGCAAGGTTAAGTAATGCTGACACACTATGTCCACATAGCGTCCCAGTAAAACATTTTCCTCCGATTTTATAGTAATTAGTTTGACCTCAGATTTATAAAAGAAATATCTATGCAACGTATAATTTTACTATGAAAAAAGAACTACAACTTTTTTTTACAAATTTCGTAAAGATCAGCTAAAGATCAAAGTTTGAGGAGCCACACCTAGAATGTTCAAAACATTTATTGTTGTTTCAAAAAAAACTTTCTAGAGTTCTTGAAATTAGTAATCCTAATGTTGTATTTAATTATTCGATTAATTCCCTTCATATATAGATAATATTTAACTGCCTAACTCATATTGTTTCATAAGAGGAATAAATTGGAGGGTAAAGTTCAAAATCGCCACAAATGTTAAATCTAATTATCTTTGTTTTATTATGCAAAGATTGCTGCACTGAACACTAAATAACTAATTTTTATATATAATAAGTATTACGCTAACAAGTATTTTAAAAATATAATTAACATTAAACGACTAAACATAATCCATGACAATATGATGTTTAAAAATAAAATTTATTCTGTGCACATTTTGCGGAAATCATTATTAGCAAATCAATGGGGAAAGGATACATTTCGTAACAGCAGTTATGTGTACGCGAATACCCTACAAACGGTTGCATACCATAAATCCTGTTATTTTCCGTCAATTCAAACAATACCAGTCATTATTCCATTAATGTTTTACGCTTGAAGTACACTTCTACACATGCTTAAGACACAAGTAAACGCTGATGATTGTGATTATCTCTTTCAAGACAGTGATGGAAATTATAAGAAATGTTATCTCATACAAAGAATCCTTCAAGTCCCAGCAGAAGCAGCTTTGCTGAACACGGAATGCTTCAACGGCATAAGTAAATATACAAATTGTAGAATATGTGTAGTTGTGACGTGAATGACAATGCATAATATTGATATCTTCCTGAGTGATTTCATAAGGTACTCATAAGGTAAATATAGATGTTTACGTATGTATAAAATAGCGCATAACTAACGGCAGTACCAGGTTCTCCTCTTTGCTACCAATACACTTGAATCTTGAATCTATTCAAGCGTTTTTATTCATCATGCATTCATTCGAATGCAAAACAAAAGCTTAGCAAAATCAAAAGAAATAAAAAAGGACTTAAGCTTGTTCAAGCTGAAGTTGATATACATATGAACATACGCATACTCAAGGAACTATTATGCGTCAGGACATGTTATAATGATAATCATTCATTCGCGAAATATAACGAAGACGCGTTCAATTTTTATGAATAATTCTTCGCTTTTGTAGAAAAATCTCAGTAATCCACAAAGCAAAGGACACGCACAGTGGCATAAGAAAAGAAATCCCAAAATAATGTAAACGTACATATTTGTTAAAAATCTTTTTTGGTATGATGATATGACAAGGTGTTTCAGGATAACTTTTGAATATTGTTTTTTGGAACTACAAAATTCATGAAGCTATATATATTTGAATATTTGATGAAATGGAATAACTTTTATTGTTTGTTTTTAAAATTAATTTAATTGTAATTTAAATAAGAGTTATACAAATTATTACAATATGACTTTTTACGGTACCATATAACTACCAAAATATTTTTTATAATAACACCTAACCTCAACAATCTGAAGTGCGTTTTAGCTTTCTACTTCATTATCCTTCATTCTTCTCAGCTTTTAAATGCACTTTTTTAGTTTCTTAGCCTAATAGCTAAAACTTTAGTTTCTAAGTCAAACAATTAACAATTTATGTGGGAGTTCTCTCTTTCTAGCTACTAGTTCTACATAGTCTGGAATCATTTTATGAATTCGGTTGTTTCTTGTTCTTCTAAAATAGCCAATCCATCTGAACCTCCAGACTTGATTATTCAAACATTTTACACACTTTTGATTAACTCAAACTAGTTAGTATATTCTCTTTTCACGAAGTTTTGGCAATCACCCTGTTTTGATCCGCTTGTTATTAAACACACTTCTGGTCCGTATATGATATCTGATCTTATAACCATTTTGCATATTTTTAGCTAATACATTAATGATAGATAGGAGATTAAATTTTAAAAATTTGTTTTTGCTTCCATACAAGCCATCCAGAATGCATTTTGATAGGAAGTGTCATATACTATAAGTACCCGAATGCGTATCAACTTCTCCATTTCGTTGAAGTTGTAATTTTCTATTAGTATATTATATAAAATTCACAAACTGAGTAAAATAAAAGTATTGATCATTTACTCCATCACTGCTGGGCATTCCCCAAAAGGTGTCTACCCACTATAAGCTCTAACTTTATTAAATTATATTCAACAATGTTTAGTAAAGATTTACTGGTATTATAAAAGGACCTTTCTAAAATAGTGCTATTTTTATTCAAAATTATTTTTTTCTAGCTAACGTACTTTACAGCTGCTTTGGGACATAGGGCTCCAAAGATCTGTTAAATGACCTAAACTCAACCAAACGGATTCAGTTTATTAATTTGTACATTTTTATTCTGTGATTGACTAGGTATGCTCATCAGAACAAACAGTTTTTACAAAAGTGTCTTTTTTATAATTGGTATGACTGTTTATTCATAAATTCATAAATTTTTGGACAGTAAGCCGATAAATAAAGAAAGTGAAAAAGTATCTATTAACCTGCAGCTATAACCAACCAATCATCTATTCATAAAAGTTGGTTTATATAGAGGAGTACTCCTTTAACAATTTTTAGGACTATTCTTCGGTAAGGAGGAAAGGATATAGATCTTTAAGGTTAATTTTTTCTTGCCGATAATGGCTTGTCTTTTTATGAAGAAAGAAACTATTTAAAAGTTAGACGGATTCGAATAGCAAAGAAAGGACAAACACAAAAATTTATTTTTAATTTTATTGAAAATTTGGCTGACCATACAACGCTATTTCGAGTATTGCCAAGTACTCTTCATCAGTGGTCTTTGGAAATAATCGAATTTTATTTAATTAGTTTATAGTCCATATACAATTTGTTTGGACTGCAAGTGCCAGGCTTAGAACTCGGATATAGATCTTATCTTTTTAGATTTTTGCAAAAAATGTAGTAATGAAATGTCAAATACTCCCTAATTACGAAAAGTGGAAATATATCTATTAAGCTACAACTGCAACCAACTATACATAAAAAGTGGATTATTTATATACTAAAAAAATAATCCACCTTGATTTTGAAACAATTAGTTCACTTTACTGCATACACCCTGTATATAGTACAAACAATAATACGAGTACCATACAATATATGCAAATAAAATGTGTTATAATACCTGTGATGAGCTACTGGCATATACGCTTCTTATTATTTAATAACAGCGACTTTTAAATATTTTTCTTGGCACAGGATGTATTCAGTCAAGGATGTCATGTTTGTGTGCATTTTTTTTAAACATAGTATGTGCGTGTGCACTTCACCATTCATATTTTACTGCGGTGCTTTGCTGCCAAAACTTCAGCTTAAGTCCTTAACCTTTCAGCTGATATTAGTTCAATAATTCTTTAAAAATTGTATTTTGTTTTTTACTATTAATTTTTTTTCGTATATTTTTTGGTTAAGCTACTATTTTATTTATTTTTCCATTCATTCTTTTACAATTTTAAATGCCAGAATTATTTAACCAAAAAAAAAAAAAACAAATATACTCGTACTCATATATAAATGTACATATATAGATAGGTTCAAAAAAGACTTTAGCTGCTTCCTTCTTTTGATCGCATACGTACATGTCTGTTTCCTTCAAATTATTTACCATTCCGTACTTTGGCATTTAAGAGTACCAGAGCTACCACCTATGCTCAACTCTAAATCACATGCCTAAGGATATTTATGCAGTAGTTAGTGATTTTTCATACATCGTAAAGAATATTTGTCGCATTGCTTTACGTTTTCTTAACTTCTTTTTTTCGTTCATAAGTTGCAGAGTTCTTATTTATTTTTTAGATATTTTTCGTTTTTGCATTAATATTTATTTTTTTTTGGCTGTTTTTTTTTTTTGTAAAATATTTTATGCTTTTTCGCTTTAATTTATTTTATATCCTGGCTGAAGCGCATACGAGTGGCTTCTACATGTCGTTGCATATTTTTGGCGGGTTAAACTTAAAAACTCCCCAAAGCGGATATTATTAATATGAATATCGCTACTGTGTGTTTCGAACAAGTTTATTGGAAAAAATATACCATAATATATTTTATATATTATTTGTTGATATTGTTGTTGTTGTTATTGTTTGGGCTTTACATAAGGACTAAAGCGTGTATTCAAGAAAAATAGTATTCCATATATAGAATTGCTTTATTCCTTAAGACAGAAATTGTAAAGTTTGTGTCGTAGGTTGATATGACAAACAAACAAATGTACATACCAACGCCAACAAGGTATGGAAAAATATTTTTAAATAAATATAATAACAAAAATATTAAATTTTTACAGTTTTATTAAGTATTTAAGCCCTTTCAATACCACTGTGATGCATATAGATATTTGCTTTGTAAAGTTAGTATATTTAGAACTACATAAATAAAGGCTTTAAATCTGACAGTGGTGGTTTTCTAATACAAAATATTTACAAATTACAATTTTTATAATTTCATACCAAATTCATATGATTTCATATCAAATCCGGAACCAGATTTAAACATTCGGTGGGCTGCGGCAAGTATAACTGATCATCTACTATTTATAATCCAAACAATATCGGTTGCTGCCTACTGAATTTTCGCCACAAGGGTATATCATCCAGACAAAAGTGATCTAATTTAGTTATTCTTTTTACTGTGTAGCGGATGGGAAACGAGATGATATTTGATGATTACTTCTACTTACTCTTTACTACAGCTTTTGTAGAAGTCAATAGATAAATATTAATTTTTAAGAAATGTTTACCTAAACAGCTGTGCCAGGCAACGACATCTGTTAGGATGAAAATATTATTTTTCAATATTTTTAAAAGAAGCCTCCTGGACTAGTTTCTATTTTGACCAGATAAGTCTCGTGTGAAATCATTTACAGGTAGTTGAAGCAGTAAGAATAGGTTCTTTTTTGAAAGACTATTTTCTTTGTAATGTAATGTAAAGATCTTTCCTTAGATAGTGTCTTATTGTGTTCTAGTTAGAAAGCTTCTGGGACTTGTGTATATTTAATTTTTTTACATAGCAGCGAGCTCTACAGACAGTTCTTTACCTTTTCGATTGCAATCTTAGTTTAGAATTGATTTCGAAACAAAGGCAAAGTTTTATCATTGTTTTATATGATAAAACCGCATGTTTGTTATCTAGCTTAGGTTAAGTTTTGGAACAATTGTTTAGTTTATTACAATTGTTCTTTATTGTAGAACTAGCTACGTAGAGTGTAAAATAGAAGTTAAGCTAATAACCTCATATATGCTTGGGTATATATGAAACCTATATGGAATAAATATAAGAAATTGGTAATGACAGGATATTGTTTTAATTAATAAATCTGATATACATTGTTCTTTTTTACTTTAATTTTTTTTTTTATTGTTTAATATTGCCTATTATTAACAACATTGATTTGTTTATTTTTATGTCACATATGTTATATCTTTATACCTTGATTAAATACATTGCATGTATAGATAGAGATAGAGAAAGAACGGGGTACTAGCTCACATTTGAGCAGAGCACTGCGACCATGATTGATCTTTTGTGCTTCAACAGACCCTAACTGAACAGAAAACATACCGCCTTCCGGATGAAGGCTAAAATGTCGACCGTTGAATGACTCCTAATGTCGAAAGGGGAAAGCAATTCCCGATCCCGTGACATCATCCTGGCCCAGATCAAGGCTGGGCAGTCACATAAAATGTTGCTGGTTGTCTCCTCTGCTTCTAAGCAGAGTCTACAATCTATCTTTTCGGACAGGTTCATTTTGTTGAGATGGTAACGTAGCCCTTGGTGACCCGTTAGATATCCTACCAGCAACCTCAGCTCTGTTCTGCTGAAGAAGGATATCTTATTGTAACTACATTGCATATATACTCGTATGCAAATATTTTTATAGTAACGCCACTGGCATTTTTATACAATTGATTCAAATTGCATTTAATCGAGCTTTAAAAAGTGTTTCTTACATTCATGCACTCTTGCCATTTAAAGTTATATGTATTTATTTAATATATTATTCTTATTTATTTTTATTCTTATTTATTTTTATTCTTATTTATTTTTTAAACTTTCCACACGTTAATTTTTTCACTTGATTTTCAACGAAGGCATCGTAAATTTCAATGAAGACCAACTAAATGGCATATGAAACTTTATGTCCTTGCTCCGTTGGTTCAGTGCATGTAAAGTGATTGCTTGCCAAAACTTTTTTGCACCTTAATTCACATTTCTGCAGATATGGGAAAGATATATTTGTACTACAGTAGTACGTACATTGTAACCGCAATTGAATATATTTTGGTTATTTTTTCTGGATTTTAGTTTTGCATTTAAAACACTTTTTTCTGTCAAAAAAAAATATAGGCAATAAGGATATAGGCAATAGGCATAAGGAAGTCGGTTGCTTAAATTATTTGCTTTAAACGCGCTGTCAATTGTCGTTAAAAAATGACAGTTTTATGGCAGAAACTTTTTAGTTTAATGACTTTTTTATATAAAATTTAAATAGGTATTCAGTATGAGAATTTTTTATTTTATATTTTACTCAGTCGTTTCTAAGGTTTTAACATATAGATATATTAAATTGTTATTACCACTGCCACTTTTTATATTCAAATAATAATTTTTCTTTAAAGAATTATTTTACTTTAATAGTTTGATTTGATATCTTTTGCATTTAAACAAAAATATTTTCTATATGTAAAACTTGAATTTATAATTAGTATATTTTGGTTAATAATGAAGTCGCTATATCAAATGAAAAAGTGCTTCTTAGTTGAGAAAATTGACTGAATTAAGTTGTTTAACCAAATACTTCATTCTGTTGACCATATAGCTATTTTAGATATTATAATGAATGAAATATAGTGTTATAATAAATATTTATAGTATTATAAAATAAATAAAACGATGAAAAAAATACTATTTTTTACTATAATTATTTAATAAATAAATTTTATTTATTTATTATATTTATATGCTATAATATATTTAGCATTAAAACGAATTATACATACATAAGTATATAAAATAAATTTCTATTTTGTAGTGTTTGGCTTAGACTCACCATTGGGACTATTTCCTCCTGGTATTGATCCTGGCAAACTATACAATCCATTAATGGAAATGTCTGATCCGCGTGGCATTGGGCCAGATACGCCCCCATTTCTAAAAAAGAAAAGTAAGTATTTCATTCATCAATGTATTATATTATATATTTAAAAAATTAGTTAACTATTATATCCAAAATAAGATTGAACAGTGTAAGAAAGATATATTATTACAACGATTCTTATATACTAATATAAAATACATTGTGTTTATAACATAGACTACATATGAATTTCTAGTGATATATTGGTGTTTTTTCCCATATATAGGGTTATCTACATTATGATACCGAAAGTAAAGATATAACGAAAAAGTATTTTTGTTAAACTTGCTATACTGACTTTTTAAACAAAGTTCGAATCACATTTATTTTTAACTACATTAATTTTTAAAACTTATTATAAGTATATTATAAGTATATTATAAGCATATTATAAGTATATTATAAGTATATTGTAAGTATAAGTATGATTATAAGTATGGCTAATACAATTGTTGAATTTCAAAAAATATATTAAAACATTGCTGTTATGAAATTTGTTGGTGTTGCCTACAAGCACTAAATTCAGAATAATCTTCTATAGAAGGGTCATATATAAAATGTGTGAATCAACCTGTATTTAGTAGATATTTAATATATAAATATATAAAAATATGTGTAGCTGTGTGGAGAGGAACTTTTAATTAACGTAAAGCTACAGTTATTTGTAATAACTTCTTCAATACAAAGATTAAGTTGGACTTTAATAATATTTTTATATTAGCAAGAAAATAAATCGATTATTTTTAGTCATAGACTGTTACAATTGATGATATGACCGAAAAGTTAATTACTAGATAGTGATAAGCCTTTGAAATTATTATCAATAACAAAAAATTTTTTCAATATATGGACCGAACGCTGTTTTAAACAAAAAGTTCCGTACATATTTTAACCATAGAGTAAGCCCAAGGCAGAATATTTATTATATCATTAATCATTTGAATTAACAGTTCAATCTATTAAGAGATAAAGTCCTATAAGTGAACCAATATGGTTCTTTTGAGGAAAAATTAGTACTAAATTGGTAGCTTCTTATTCTTGGAATTAATTCTTGCAAAAATGAGTAACCAGAATGTATTGATGCTTATCAGTTTCATTTTTTGTGGTGCTCATATATTACATGAAATATAATGTATGTATGTATGTTGATCCTTTTTTCGAGTTAACGCAACTGGGCACTTTTACTCTTTGATAGCTGGGGGCACTACAGGGTCCCACCCATCTCATTGACTAATTTATGTATTCCTTATAAGCTGCATGATTATTCAGTGATTGATCTAAGATCTGCGTACCTTCCCGTGCGGAGAGTGATTACTCTAAGATTAGATAGTGCTAAGTAGAATAACCTGTCAGTTTTCGCATATAACTTCAGGGCTCTGTCCCTTATGCATTTTTTGATCTGGTCTATTCTAAGATCTCTTAGCATGTCGTTTGTGCGGATGTATCAAGACACTTTGAAGAGTCTTCGGAGAGCCTGACTTTGAGCAACTTGTATCTTTTATGTTACATAGTAGAGTCGGCAGCTTTGCTATACGCGACCAGTAATGCTGGTCTAATTATGTGGCTATAGATCAGTTTTCTGTTCTTCGCGCTAAGGTTGCTGAAGATTCAAAAGACCTAAAGAGTTTGTTATGTTAAATATCAGTTGCTAATATATATATTTAAGCTTTAGATATATACATACTACATATATACGATAACTAAAACTTTCAAACTGTTTTATGGAGAAAAGTTTGACTTACAATTATATAGAGATTTAAAAAAAATCAAATCTTATTACTTATAATACAACCGGATTTTATTCTCAAAACAATATTGAACGTATTTCAATGAGAAGACAACTCTACTTGTATTGTGAAGCACAAAAAAGCACTAAAAAAGACTGCGTCAATCACACAGAAAAACGCGTCAAAATCATGTGAGGCGGTAAATTCAATTTTGTGGTTTTCCTGTATTTGCTCATTGAACATGTGCACCTATGCATGTCGCACTTTTGCATATCAAGAAAAACAGAAAAAACCAAAAAAAAAACAATAAAAATAATATTATTAACTTTTTATGTTATTTTTGCAAAAAAAAAATATATATATAATAAAAAAAAGTGAATGTCTTCATGTGCATGAGTGGCAATTACCGCTTTGCTCTACAAAAAAAAATCAATTTTTTTATTGAGCAATTATTTTAAATAAAGATTGAAAATAGTTCAAAAACCTTCAATGCTATTATGGCGAGAAAATAAGGTTGACTGAACATAAAACTAGCTCATTTCTTATTCAATGTATTGAATAATTATGTATTTAACTAATCTTAAAATATGTTTATAGCACATTTAAATCAGAAATACTTATAATCAAATCATATATCAATGTTAAATACATGTTAGCATACATATACCTTCAAACAAACAAGTCAAAATCGAAATCTTTGATTGAATTGATTGACGTGATGTTAAAGATTGTTTTTATGCAAATGACATTCAAGATTAAATTTTGATCGTTGATAACTCATATCAACAATTTGACAAGTTCAGTGATTTATATGAATACTTTTCTGTACACTTTTAAGATATGCATTTGCTTCAATGTCTCCAGATATGTGCTTGACATTGCTTTAGCCATTAGTCTTTTATTATTAAAGGTATATGCAATATAAAAGCATTATGAAAACAATTAAAATATTTAAATGTGTACATTATATCACATATAAGTGACAATTGAGTTAAAGTACATTATGTTAATGCATGATCAATCAAAGATCAGGTGAAAGTTTTAAAAACAGTTTGTATATTACATTAGTTTGATTTAAATTTAGATCAATAGTATCTAGATATGAGCACTTTAGATTTTGAGCTGATTACCGCAAATGTGAAATGTATGTATGTGGATATTGCAGTATATAATGATAATCAAATAATACCTAATATCAAAATAGTATTTAATAGTAGTAAATTTCTTAATTGTTCTTCAAATGAACTTCAGTTGAAAGTCATTGAGACAGCAAGTCATTCAAATGCTAGTCCTCCTTTAAGAGTAATCTGCTTAAAGAACAATACAATCATTTCAGCGTTTGATTTCGATACCTCTCTTGCAGAATATTTCATCTTTGGCTTTAAAATGTATCTTAGGTAATGACTGTTGGTTAAATCTGGCGAATGCGATGGAGGTGAAAGCTATTCAAAGGTGCTATATAGGTATGTCTAGCAACTTCCATTTAGGGCTTACACAAATGATTTTGTGTAAAAACCGAGTTTTTACATGTCACGTGATTTTTTTTTTAGCCAAAAGCATTGATAAGTCAAGACACAAAATTGCTTTGAATTCATTGTTCCAAAAATATAAAGAGTAGCGTTACTACAACAACGGTGACTGAATAAGTATTCGGTTAGTAATCGGAAATATTTACTTTTTTTGACTTAAAACAGAAAGTTATCAGTTTTTAATTATTATATGGATATTTTATTAGTGGCACTGCCAATATGTCATCCTACGGATTTATCTGCTGATGTTATTTAATTAATAAAGTAATTTAAAGGATTACAGCAATTATGCAGAAGAAAATGTACCATTAAAACAGTAATAGCAATAGTCTACATATTCGCCCATCTGCGGTGAAGGTGTTAATTTATTCCCGAGATAAGGCATGCCTGCCGTAAAAAGCGACTAAAATAACGGTGCCACGTCGACACTTGTGCATGGTAGTAAGTGAACTTGTAGATTTAGTACTATGGGCGTCAGTGGTCCGCAGGTTCGGCTGTGCAGTTGAGGTTGGATTCGTACTGGTTGTGGTTAATACCAAAACTTACGCTGAAAGACTAATAAGATATTTATTTTAAAATTCATTTGGCATGGAGTTGCGTATTCACCACCGGGTCCTATGTTCCAAAGATTAGCAGAGGTTATAAGTCGGCATTGTATCCTACCAAGGTGGGAGTTATGTCTTGCATACACTTCTTCATTGGCACCAGCGGAAATTTCTTTTGAAATTGCAATGGGGCGTTGATAGACGTGTTGCATTAATACACGTTTTTTTGAACGCTGTTATGTTAAGCCTCCACGGCATATAATGTTAAGTAAAATAACATAGGGACTACTAGTTTACATAAACCTAAGAACAACAATAAAAATTGCAATCACATATTCTAGTATTGCATAATATAAAATACTTTACTATTAATGTTTAAAGAATGATGCCAAAATGCATTTCTTATAAACTACCATATATCACTTCTAACAAAGTATGTCTTGTACTTCATACAAATAATAATTCTAATGAAATTTTATTTATTTGCCCTGTTTATGATATCTTATAGTCTAATATCTTTGAAGTAAGAAAATATCTAATTTTTCACATCAATAGAAAAACGTGACCAATTTTTATTTTTTTTTTTTGGTTTGCAGTATTTGCGATTTTCTAGAATAATAATTTCTTTTGTAAACCATTTCTTTCTGTTATTTATTTTTATTTTTATGTTGTATTCTGAATATTTTCAATAATTTTTTTATAAATTTTTTCTTTTTTTTCAAATAATATATTAAGCAAAAAGTATCGATCGCATATGAAAGATCTTAAAATATTTATTTGACTTTTATTGCTTTTGTTTTGTTTATACTTTGTACTGACTCAATTACAATATTAAATCGTCATGATATACCACAATAATTCGTATACGATAACAATCTCAGTTTATGTAGTGAATTTACCAGAAAATAAGATACAAATGCAGTAAGTCTGGGCAGAAAGCAACGAAGACAATCCGATTTGAATTGTGTAGGTGCGATTAACTGTTTTGTTCACATTAAAAACGTGATTTTTGTTTCGAAACGAAGTCAAAGATTAAAAGGATTTCTGACCAAATAAAAACGAATTCCTTTTTGGAATAAAAAAAAATGTAAAAAAGAATTGCATTATAAATATAAAATTTGGCAGTAACTTATTAATTATGACATACAATTTCATAGTAATATTACATACTTTACTCTTGTTATTGTACATACATTTTTCGAGAAACTTAAACAGGAAGCCGCACTTGAGAGCATAGTCTTCGATTTTTCCAGAACTCTTCAACAGTCTTTTTGATTGTTCCTTGGTTTTGTATGTGAAAATCATTATCATTCATATAAAGGAAATTGATACAATATTTTACAAATTCCATGATCACTCTAGAAGTAGAATTTCGCTTCAGAAATTTCTATCTTAAAGGGGCACATCACTTTGGTCGACCAGTCACTAAAAAAGTCGATGAATTTTTGCAACCCATGGAGAATAACTGACACGTAAGCTGTTAAGAGATAACAAAAGCACTAAACCTCAACCACTTGACAGTTTGGAATCATTTACACAAAAAGGCTACACAAAAATTCTCTTTGTTTGGGGAAACACGAATTAACACATTAAATTGATTGATTGAATTACCATCAGTGAAAAGCTGCTGAAACGTTACACAATCGAACTATTTTTGAAGCAAATCATTATAGGCTACGAAAAATAAATTATTGAATTGAATTAAAATAAAATCAAATGAATTAACTACCATTTGTTTTGGTTTTCATATACATATAGATATACAATCTTAAGCTTGTTTTATTTTCTCTTAATTATCATTTTCTAAATTATTTATTTACTTATTATCAGATGTAGTATAGTCTTTTTATAAATTTATAAGAAAGCAATTTTTATCCATATTTGTAAATCTTCTTCTTTTTAGTTAATCGAATACAATATATGTTTTGCTTATCGATATAAACGGAATTCATATTGATTTGCCAATAATTATTAAAATTTGATTCGAAGTTAAGGTCTCTCATGAAAAACATCGTGTCGTATAGTTAATAGCTATCTAGTTTGATATTGTGGTAAAAAAATCTGAAGATTGATCACTTTCAAACTACTATTCATTATTTCTGAAAACTTATACTATAGCTTCTTGACAAATTTGTTAAATATATATTTAAAAACCAAAATTTCTGATCCGAGGTTATTGTGGAACCTTAACTTAGGTTTGGTTAGGTTGGAGTGGCAGCCTTGTGTACCAAGAAAGCCCACTTGAGAAATTGCCACATTTAGGCTAAATTGACCAGTTGTGATATTACATGATTCTAGCGGGATCCCTGATCAAATAATTGGTTCTTATCTAACTTAGTTGATGTCACATATTGTATCTCTCTGATGAGAGATATTTTAACTGATAACAACCTAACTATAACGCATTCTTTCACATATTCTAAATTATTTTTTAACTGACTATTTGACAGTAATCAATTTTTCTATATTCGAAATTATTTCACTTAAATGAAAGCTAAATGTAATTCGTGTATTAATAAATACAGGCTTTTGATACAAATAAAGCAGAAATGGTACAATGAAATTTAAAACAAAATCATTTTTTCCTCCATAGGCGAAACTAGAGTTAGAGTTAAGTTAGAGTTAGGAAAACTACAAAGCGGACAATGTAGATGTAAGAATAAGATGCACTACATAAGTTTAGATTAATAAGTACCGCAATTAGATCCTATCAAAAATGCACATATCGCAATAAAGAACAATGGTTTCGATATTAACGTGTAGAAGATTATGAATTTCAACAACCTGTACCAGATCTTTTCCTCAGTTTATTTGCATAAATTTTGAGATTTTCATCAACGATATAAGCGCATGTGGCGCACTGTAATTTACATGTGGAACCACCACAGAGATTACTTGTGCTCAGACAAATATTAGGTGCTGTATGCAGCACATGCACAACAAATTCACTTGCACAGCAGGGTGTGTATGGATCAATTGCCAGAACAGCACCAACAACAACAACAACAGCAACAACAATAATAATAATAATAATGACGACGAAGACTCCAACAACCAAAATAACGTACTGTAAGAAAACAAAAGATACTTTATTGAAGAAAAAGCGAAGCAAAATCTCAAAATTCCTTGAATGTCAGCGTTAAATGCAAGATTAAAACATTAGCAGATCATAAAGAAGTGATAACCTTTGCATGTGAGGTGCAGTTAAGTCAACATACAATAAAATGTTGCCACAAATTGCTTAATAAACTAAAGTAAAATGTTAAATATTTTTTGTAACTGTTCAACGTACACGAAGTAAAGTACAAATTGAATTTGATTTATAATTTCGACAAATTTAACTTTCAAATGAAAATCTACGAGTATATAGACATACACATATACATACATTAAATATTTACTGTACTTTTACTATTAAAATGTTAAAATAATAAATTTCAATTTATATTTATTTCTAGTGCCCCGCCCTAAGGGTCAACATTCGGCACCACGCGGTGGTCCGCCACGTTCTTGGACTAATGCCGAGCTTACCGAAGCCTTGCAACACGTTTGGAATAAGAAAATGACCACCTCACAAGCTTCACGTATTTTTGGTATTCCCTATAACTCCTTGCTGATGTACGTACGTGGTAAATATGGGAAAAGTTTGAAATTGGAACAATTGAGAAAAGATTGCATTAGTGGACCACCACTTGAGCTACTACAAATGGGCATAAATGCTGGCGGTTCCTCTAGTTCAAGTAGTAAAAACAAAAATCAACAACATGGCGATAACGAACGTGAACGTGAATCGCGTAAAGAACGAAGAGAAAATAACTCTGATATGGATTTGGGTATGCCAATGCCAGGTGGTGGTCCACGTAGCTCGAGTTCAGAACCAGATTTACTCGGTGGACCCAATTCTATATTTAATCATTTCCCACAAGGCTTTTATCCAGATTTTCCTGGTGGCTTTCCGGGTTTACCATTGGGTATGTTGAATTTGCTACCACCAAACGATAGACATCCCTCTGCTAGCGGCTTACATCATATGAGTATGGATGAAGATTGTAAATCGGATCGTTCCAAACAATCCTCTTCCATGGATGAAGAATTTGGTGGTGGTATGTCATCGTTACAACCCTTAGCTTTAAATCGCGATGAACAGAGACGTAGCACCGGCAGTAATAGTGGAAATGATTTGTTGACAAATCTAAATGCAACAGGCTTAAGCGGTGCTGCAGTTGCGGCGCAGCAAAATGGTGCGACGCAAGATTGAAATTTCTGGCGGGATTGGGCCGCCAATCCCATGTTTTTCCCGCCAAATGACAATTTTGATATGGAAGAGGCTATGAATGGTGCTAACAATGGTACCGGTATGGGCGTACATAACACTGGCAATAGAAATTCTTTATCCCAAACAAATCCATTTCGTGAATTTAATCAAAGTTTATATATGACACGTCGCAAACTCAAGCGATATCGACAGCGTCGACGTAAAAGTTTTGATACTACTCGCAATAACAATAATGGCAACCTGAATGGCAATGGAACGGGTAACATGGATCCTTTTATGTCAATGCAAGGACCGCCATCGCTCTCCATGCCACCTGCTGTTATTCGCACTTAGTTTAATTATCTTATAATAAAGGATTATGTAAAAACTCCTGTATACAGTTTAAGGTCTTTGCGTGATATACAGACTGGAGACGTTGAGCTCTAATACTGGACACTGTAAAACGATGTCAAGTTCTATTGCAATATTGTTTTAGTTAATTTTATATTGTAAAATATTTAAGTGTAACAAATGTTTTAGAGTAAAAAAAATTTCAAATAAAAATTAAATAGAGACAAATAATTTATGTAACTATACCAACAACGATTATTTATATATTTTTAATTATTTAAATGAAAATCTATTTATGCATGTTTATTTAAATTAAAAATAATATTTATTATTATTATTATGATTATTAAATAAGAAAAGTGCGAGGATGCATTTTCGGTGCTTTTAGTTCCTATTTTGTTTGAACAGAAATTTCTTAACATTCCCAAAAATTTTATTTAAGTTAAGATTTAGTTTCAAAAAAGGCTTGAATATATATATAACTGTAAATATATATGTTCATTAACTTATAATATTCTGAAAAAGCTTGTAAAGCATTTCATTTCCCTCCTTTGTTTTTAAATGTATTTTTGTTTTATATTAAAAAATATATTTTATTTTAAAAATTAATAACACATAAAATCAAAATTTATTGTAATGGGAATAACAGATGTAAATAGTAAATACAGTAAAAAGAAAATAAAAATAAATATTTCTTATCAATATATATAAAAAAATATAGAATAAGAACATAATTAAATAAATATTGATAAATCTCAATTAGTATTATTATTGTACCAAACAAATTTATTTAAAAGAATTCCAAACAAAATGAACAAAAATTATTATTATTAAAAATAAAAATAAAATTTTACAATAAAAAATAATAAAAAAAGTAAGAAAACACATTAATTGTTAAGTAGTAGGAATTTTTTATTATATATGTATTATAATTAAATTATAAATAAATTATTAATATAAACATAAAATTGCACTCGAAAACAAAAATTAGCATAATATTATTATAAACAAAATCATAATTATTCTTTCGATAATTGTCGTTTTCCATAGTAAAAAGTTTTAAATAAAAAGTTACAATTTTTATTATAAAAGTTTATTTATTGAAATATTTTATTTTAAACATTTTTAGTGTTTTTTTTTTTAATAAAATTTGTAAATTTTAAATATTTGTTTATTTAATTACAATTTTACGATGTAATTTCTCTAGAAATTGTTTTATTTTTAATTCAACTAAAGAAGGGGACTTAACACTCGCAAAATTTAAATAAACATTTTTTCATGAACTTAATATGAAACATTAATATATCTCACATATTATACAAAATAAAGATACAAATATATCTGAAATATAATTATAAATTTTTTTTCATATGCATTCGATATTTTTGTTTGCACAGTTAACAATGAGGGTTATACAAATCATTAACAGGGATTTAATTAATTTTGCTTTAGATATCCAATATCCCTATATCTATATCATTTCCTTCGTCAATATATTATATCTATTATACATGTAGATATGTTTTCTAATATTGTGAAATCGTTATAATAAGCTTCCGACAACCACGATACCATGATTCGTGTGTACTAGAACTACAGCTCACAACTTCTTGGTTAAAATCCCACTAAGATCAGGTTAGATAATATGCTTTTAACCAACTATGTTAGACTGTTACTGCTTTAGGCTATTACTGCTCTATTCTAAGAATACAGCTCCAAGTAACCTTAAGTTCTTGAAAATGCCTATTAAAAAATGTATTTACTCTAACTGGTACTCCGTAGGAATAATAGGTCTATGTGGAACTTACGGGCAGCTAGATTAAAATAAATTAAACTATATTAAACAGTTGTTATCGCTCGGACTTTTTTTCATTTATGTTTATTTACTTATCTCAATAATAATAAACAATTCACTTTCGTCTTGAAATGCAGAATAATCCGTTTTATAATTAGAAATTTACAATGTAACAGAGTTTTCCCAATGAATTTTTTGAAGCCCGTTTTCATCATGTAATATCTATATATATATGAATACTCTTAAGGCATATTGTCTAGAAATTAAAGTTATTAATAGTTATTTGTCAGAAAACCATAAAAAAAATAAAAAAGGTTCTTTGATGGTTAACAATTATATAAACATTACTTTACATGATATATTCCTATCTTGTATATGGAATATGTTATTAAATATATGAGAAAGTTGTTAGAATTTATATTCCAAAAATTAAGAACTTTTAAAAAATTGATAAAAAAATATTTTAATTTGTTCGATGTATTCTGGCATGTTACCTTATATATGAAGTTATGAATTTATGTAAAATAAAATCATAATATAATACAACATATATCATAATGTGATAAAAAAATCGCCCAACTTTCAGGCGGTTTTACTTTTGTATTTAGCTTTAATACTATCATGAGCGATTTACAGCCCTTTGTTCTGGTGGTACATTTTCAATCTTCGTCTCTTCATTAATTCCAAACCGTATATAACATATATAATATATACAATCGTATATGTAATAAATTTAATATTGTTGTAGCGTTTAATTAGCTCTACTTATTGATCTCGAGTTCTTTAAACTTTTAAATGTTCATTACGTTGTTCATTAATTTTATTTCGCATATTATCTTCTTGCTGAATTGTATACACAGTTCTATTCTTTTATAAATGTATAAAGTTACGTGGAACAAAAATTATTTAATTTTAAAAACTTCAAATTATTATAACATTAAAATTTAAATTTTACTGCATCTATAGGGTCCAAACATTGGTTGTTCCATGAAAGTTTTTTTTAAAAAATATACCGCCGATGAGTACTAGAATTTCTTTCTTTATATATTAAACTCTTAAGTAATTTATTCTAATTTCTTCAGTTATTAGAATTAAAACATTTTTGGACTGACAGCTATTTGTATTAAATTTGAAGGTATATAAAATTTGAGAGCAGATATTTCAATTTACGTTTTACTTTAAATTGAATTAAATTTAAATAATTAAAATTAAATTAATTTCAAGAAAAAATGTGAAAAAAATTTCGTCTTGTTCTAAACTTTAAATTTATATATGCAAAGTAATGAAAACCATTTCATTGAAGTTATTGGAGGAAACAACGAAATATCTGGTGAAAATATCATATTTATTTAAATTATATATTTATTTAGCAACAAAAAAGCATAATATAATTAAACAGCTGTTGTTTAGTTTTTAACTTTGTTCTTATATAAATAAGTATATTTATTTATGTAATATTTTTTTTTTAAATACAGATTCCGTATTGCTCTAAATTTTTGAATTGATTTCGTTAATAATAAAATAATTTATTTTAAATAATAATGTAATACTAGATTTTATTAAATCAATTTTATTTAATAATTCGTTTAAATTAATTTGTCAGTAATTCATCTAAGGTTTTTACCTAACGATTTAAACTTTAAAAATACAAAAATAAAAAATAATTTTGTATACGCTCAAAACCAACTTCAAATGTACAAAATATAAAATTAATAATAATAAATATCTCAAAAAATAAGTTTATAATTACATAAAACATAATAACATTAAATGATATAATAACATTAAATTAAATCGCTAATATGTGGCGTATAAAAAAATAGTGATATTATAAAAATAAAAAGAAATTATAAAAAATATATAACAAAAATAATACAACATACAACAAAAAACCAAATTATATATAAATAAAATATATCATAAAATTATATATAATGGAATAAAATATTATAAAATAATATAGAATTGACAAGAAATAAATTGAATACTGAAACCGAACAAAAAATTATATTAAAGTAAAGAAAGATATAAAAAATTAATTAATTAAAAAAATGAAATTTTTTATTAGTTAAATTTTATTTAAAATAACTAAATAAAAAAGTAAATAATTAAAATCAATTGAGAAAAAATAAATAAACAAAACGTTACTGTTAAATAATTATATAGTTAAAAATTATAATAATATTAAAAAATTTAATAAAACAATAATTAATTAAAACATAAATATCACAATATAACATAAAAGCAATAAAAAAAATATTTTATTAAAAATATTATTCAAAAATATAATAAAAATAAATAAAATAAAATAAAAATAATATGAAATAAAAGTGAACATAATTAAACAAAAAAAGAGATATGATTAAAAGATAATTAAATTATATGATAAAAATAATAAATAAAAAAAAATAAAATTCAATAACCGGAATTAAATTGATATAAATAAAATTAAGAAAAAGCATGAAGTCTAACATAAAAAAATAAAAAAGAGACGGAAAAAAAATAATACATAAAAAAATAAAATAAATGTATAAATAAATAGAAAACTACAAAATAAAGGTTTAAAGAAAATTATATCAAATGAATTAAAATTATTTAAATCAATTAAATTAAAGAAAGTAAAAAATGCAAAGTAATGAATAATTTAATAAATAATAAAACAATGAACTATATTAATAAAAGAACAAAAAAATTAAATTGAAATAAATTAAATCAATTAAATGAAACAGAGTAAAGTATTTTAATAAATAAAATATTAAATTTAAATAAATAATTAAAAAAAATTATAAAATAATTTGAACTAAATAAATTATTATAATATAAAGTAAAATAAAATGTAATAAAATAAAAATAAATAAGATAAAATAAGATAACATAAAATAAAATAAGAATAATAAAATAAAGTAAAATTAAATAAAAGAAAATTGAATTGAAATGAAATAAAATAGAATGATCAGGAAAGAATTTAGAATATCAAACAGGTTTAACACAAAATAGAATTTGTCAGTAATGTTATATTAAATTATGTTAATATAAATAAATAATTCCAAAACAACATAAAATTATATAGTATTAAGTTAAATTGTTAGGTGAACGAAAAAATAAAATTAACATAAAAACAATAAAGAAAACTAATTGAATAATTTGAAAACAGGGTAAAAATTATACAAGCAAAGCAAGTAGAAAAAAATAAAATTACAATAAATTTTATACCAAATTTAACGAAATTATTACAAAAACGAAAAAGCAAATATCTTAAATAAAAATATTATAAATTGTAAAAAAAAAATTATTTCAAATAAATCAAAAGCCAAATTATGCGTAATAAGTGCGAGTAGTTCTGTATTACAATTTAAACATACGAATATATAAT